CAGGCCAAATCTGTTAAATAATTAGAATACGATAGATTTAAATTATTTAAATTCTCTGGCCTGATTTAAATAATTTAAATCCAGCCTATTTAAATTATATAAATTATGTAAATTATTTAAATTCTATATAGATTATAGAAAGAAACAAAGGCGGCACATAGACCCTAAAGGTATCTCGATCATATATATATATATATACATATACCCCCCATATATCCCCCATATCCACCTTTAAAAGTGTCCCTGAATTTTGGGGTGACTGCCAGCTTCCAGGATCCCTACAGCAGTCGAGGCAAGGCGTTTGCAACGATTTCGCTTACTTGTAATATGAGGGATAATGGAAAATCAAATGGATAACTACTATAATGGGTTATATAGGGATTACAGGGAGTATATTGGGGTTGTATCTTGGGAATAATGAAAAGAAAATGGAAGCTACTACATTGTAGTGGGGTATGTGTCGGGGCTATAGTAGGGAATAAGGGAATTGAATCCGATTATACAAGGAAGAATGTATCCCCATATTCCCTACTAACTGCCAGCAAGTTCAGAGGTTGTGTCCAAGCATCGGTTCTCAAGGTAGAGATCCATACTCCCCTTCACGCAGATTCGATCAAGGCAGCTTTGATGGTCGCTGCTACGTTATTATTCTGCCAGACCTTCCACCAAATGCTGTGATGGTGCTGAACAGCACGTAGCCTGTTCACCTAGCTTGGAGCAACATCCGTTTACTGTCCATTGCAGGCCGTGGACGCGACGAGGAGCACTTAGCCTCTGTGTGCCTCCTCCAAACTGTTTTCCATTATCTCAATATGACCCCAATATATCCCCTATATAATCCCTATAGTTTCCTTTTTATTTTCCATTATCCCAATACAACCCAAAATAGCTGTTTCTGGATCGCCAGGAGGGATTTTCAGGCAGCTTTGACGGCGGTCGTCGAGGCAAGCGTGTTGAAGTGTCTGTCCTCCTTTATAGCACATGCCCAAACGCATACTACTTGAGCTGTACAAACTGGAGTTAAAAGCATGTCATTCGGCCTTTGTCATGCTCTTGCCTAGGTCATGGCGGGCCTCCTCTTACAGGCGGTGGCATGCCAGACCGCATGGGCAATCTTGGCTGGCGGCTCAAAGACCCATTCATGGGTAGCTGGGAGGAAGCATGGCAACAAGGACAGAGCTTGAGACAGCTGAACTGGGAGGAGGAACAGCAGGTAGCTCGGTAGTCACGGTTGTGGCCATGATTTATCGAGTGGATTTTATTCGGATCTGACTGAGGCTAGTGAACATTCAGAAGCAGTGAGCTGAGACTGCTTGCGAAATGAGCTTTCGGTTTTGGAAATCCTGGGCATTCCCAGGAATTTCTATAGCGAGCATCCTGAAGTGTCGTCGATGACTGCAGAGCAGGTGGGTCAATTGGTTGATGCTCACCTAGCTGTGATGCCAGTACTTGCAACATCCGTACCACAGTCTAAGCTCCTTATTGGGTTTTCTAGGGGATTCGAAAGGGGAGCATTGTAGGGCTTATCAAGTGGGATACGAGGAGCTTGGGCTGTAACTCAAGTGTTTTGTGGAATGACGTGCCTCCTACAGGTGGCGGCAGCTTACAAGGCAACCGGTGACAAACATCTTTTGGCCTACAGAAACCTGATCGGTCTGAAGGAGCTGAATGCCAACGTAGAAGGCCGCAAGCCGCATCCTAGGCCAGACCTTGCGGCTTGCAGTAGCTTGGAATCTATTGGCAACCTGAGACATGCTTGGGAGGCCTGTTATGTCTTTTGGTCACCTGAGTCTTGCGGAGGACCTAGTGCATACGGCTTCGCCCTCAAGCCTTGCCGTTTAGTTGGTTCCGATTCAGCTCTTCCAGCACAGGTGCGCAGCACTTTCGACAGCCCAACACCTATTCAGTCAATGGGCCGGGCACTGACTATACGGGCTGCAGGTCTTGTGCAGTGCCATGCAGCACGCGTACGATCATGGCTGCGTTTCTGAGTCTTTTCAGGCTGGCCAACGGCGCTCTCTGGACGGGATATGGTAGGAATTGCGCAAACTGGTAGTGGTGAAGCTGGCAAGTTTACCCATTGATCTACTCTGCAAGTGCGCATCTTTCAAGTGACTCAATGAAAGGCAAGACGCTGGCTTACTTGTTGCCGGCATTGGTCCACATTACGGTGCCAGTCTGAAGTGGACTTTATCACGAGCGGGTCAGATTCCCTTTGCCATGCAGGCGCAACCTGCACTGAGACCAGGCGATGGTCCAGTTGGGTTGGTGTGGCGTCCCAGTGGCTCCTGCGTGCAAAGAACATGGACAGAGTCTGCAATGCTTTGCCGCGGACGAGCTCATTCCTGGGTTACGGGGTCAAAGTTTGACCCCCTGATAGCTGCTGTCTACTCCTTGATTGCCATGTCAGGTTCCAGTAACTGTGAGTGCTATCTGTGGTTGCTGCGGGTTCTTGCTCTGCACTGGCTGATTCTCGGCAACGCCTGGCATTTGTTTCTTTCACAGGGGCTTGTTCTTTTCCCTCTCCTTATTTGCTTTCAGCTGGTGTGGGAGGGGTGTCTGTTGTTGGCTTCGTTCATGCGCCTGATGGTCCCTCCTCAGCTCCCTCCGTGCTGTGTTTATAGTTGGGGTTTGTCAGGGTTTTTGGCTTCTAGAGGAGGAAATGCAGAGCAAAGAAGCCGGCCAGACGTCATATGCACGATGCATGGTGGAGATAAGGATTGTATGAGTTCATCATCAACACGAACTGCAGAAGACCCTGAATTGTTGTCTCAAGTAGTGCAACCTTCCCAGGTGGATGACCAAAGAATCAAAGGCATCGAAGGCAGAAAGCAAGAACAACATGGTTCTTGTCATCTTGATATTGACAAGTTAATCTGCGTTAATCGATGTAGGCATATATCCTCGTCGTTGCAGTTTCTCTATTTAAAATGCTTCCATTTTGCTCTGCTCTTCCTGGCTGTCTTTTCCTTTGTTTGACTTTGCCTGTCTCTGCCTCCTTATGCTTTTGCTCGCCTATGCTGTCACTCCTTCTCTTTTCGGCACCTGTGCAAAGGGCTCTGGTCCAAGGACCTGACGGACACCCAGCCCCGCAAATGGCTAGTATCCATGAGAGTTAGATTCGTACGATCATGTTTTTTAGAAACGTCTTGATGATTTTTGGGAGCACGGCTGTGGTGGACCATCCTTACATGACTGTCACTGAATATCGTGGAGCAATGCTTTGTTTTTGCGCACGGGGTGGAGGGCCCGCCATGCGATCTACTGCTGCAGCCAAGCCGTGCCGGAGAATTTTTCTATCACCAAATTTTTTCTTTGTTGTAATATCTATGAAAGATTTAATTGTTCGCTGCTCCATCTTCGGTAGATTACTTATGTGCCTATGTCTGAAGTCTAAAGTGATCTGTTGTATTTAGAGCATCGTGGATCGTTGCAGTGGTCCCGTTCTGTTTCATTTTGTTTCAGGCCACTGTGGTGCTTTTCAGTATCTAGACAGTATGAGAGGGTTTGCATGCCGTGATTCGCAACATCTCGTGCATCGCATACAGCTGCGAAGGCCTGTAACTTGCAGTTTCTGAATCCTGCAGAAGTGGTTGAACAAACAAAACGCAAGAAGCAATGCCAGCCAAATACATGACATAATCACTGTCCGCGGCAACATCAGAGACCGTTACAATCGAAATGGTTTAGAGACGTCTGCTAAGAGACACTCATAGAGGGATGAAAGCTGTTGACCCTGTTTCCGCTTCATGTTTCAGGGACTCTCTCCGGGGTTGCTGCTAAGGAAACTAGTTTAAGTTTCCGCGTATACGCAGCAGTGGGGGTCTCTTTTTTGTAGTAACTTAATTTAAGTTCCCGAACAGCAACCTAGTTTCAGCACTTGACTTCCATACTACCCGAGATATCGAGCCGGCGCTATTCACCCCTCAGCCTCTTTCAGGAAAATGCAAAGCCATCGCACATGTTGGTACATTGAATATGTCCCCCATTGCTATCTTAGTTGTGTGTGTCAAAGATGTGCCATGAAAATGTGCCTGGAACTCTGACAAGTCATTTCTGTGAGATAAGTTTGCCTCCTCAGACTTCAACGCTTTTGCAGTGGACACGTCTACAAAACAAACGTGTGCCCATGCTTCGCGGAGCTTGATACATATTTTCGATTCGATGCCAGTCCTGCATGATCATAAGCCGTCACATAAATCCATGCCCGTCATGGGGCAGGGGGCCAGGTCGCCTCGTTTTGTGTTTGAATGCTGATGTCTTGAGCCATATCGGTTGGATGTTGCCTAGTTCCGGCAAGTGTCCGAAAGTAGATGATGCAGAGCCTCTTAGGGCCGGATCATGTTGGGAGACACGCAAGTGGCCTTGCTAGGAGGCTCCAAGCGTCAGTTATCGTCAGTTGCTGTGTGCTTGAATAGCTTTGTCTCCAGCATTGTACCAGGTCCTGGCACCCACGCGCGAGCTTGCCAATCAGATTCATTCAGAGGCGCATTGCTTGCAGAGGTCAGTGATGCTTCGAGTAGTTACATGATACTATCGAATTTCATCATTGTGGAAGTTGCAGATGAAGCCTGGGCTGTCTTAAGGAATGAAGGGCTCTGCGCACACAGGTGCTTGATTTTTGATTTCAAAACATCATGCAAGTTGCTCTCGGTGAGTGCTTGAGCTGTTCTCCATGGATTGTAAATGCAGTTTGAATATTTGCCTCGAGTCGCTTTTCTGCATCTTACTTGCTGGCCCTGGCGTTGGACCTTGCTTTGTTGTGTTAGTTCTAGCACGGCTTGTACAGTACCCAACCTCAACACAAACAAATGCGGCAGACAGTCTCTGCACACTTCCGTCACTGATGCTAAGGCAACTGAACGGAATACACGCAACGCAACATTGCAGGGTGGGGCAATTTGAGAGCCCATTCAGTACGTTTTTGATCCCTCTCTATGTAAGGCAATGCTGCCCATGTTCCTCTCCTCACCTTTTCAGAGGCCCTCTCTCAGGGATAGAATGCTAGCTGATAACATGGCATGAAGTCGTGGCAGGGTACACTGTTGACTGATTGAGGTCATGCGGTTCACAGAAGGCTCCAGAATACGGAGCACCGCTGTCTTCGGGGGCGTCCCCAGATATGGACAGGCATGCGCAAGTCCAACTTGCATTTATTGTCCAGTTGAGTAGTATTTGTCTGGGGGTACTATGGTACCCGATATAGATCAAGATAATCCTTCTTTCAGGTATAGTATTTGTTTTACAGAATAGATTTTGCCTGGTTCAGCCGCTCAGTTGTCCAGGCCTCAGACCTACGACGAGGAGTGGAGATCCTCATTGCAACTCCTGGCCGGTTGCTGGATTTTCTGGAGGATCGGTACACAACCATTACATCGCTACTTTACACTGCTCGGTTATATCCCCGTCAGGCTGGCACTACAAATCTCAAGCGAGTTACCTACCTGACGCTGGACGAGGCTGATGAAGGGATGTGGTCAGGGTTTTGGGATTAAGCTTCGATCGCATACATGCAGTAGTTTCCATAACTAGGGGGACCCCAAGATAGACCCCAACATACTAAAAAGGGTACCTCCAAATTTTTGGAAACCCCTATACAGGCTACGGGTAGTTGTGGGTAGAGGCCGGTGGAGTGCATGCTGAACAAAGGCTTCAGGTGCTTCTTCATGTGAGCTATTGTCTAAACTCTTTGGGGGGGTTCATATAGGGGATCTATGGGGATTCTATAAAGGACTTATATAGAGGTCATTAAGGGGGATATAAGGACTCATCTGCCCTTGCTGCCCTGCAGGCAGACAGGATGCTCGACATGGGATTCGAGCCTCAGATTCGAAAAGTGCTGGCGCTCAGTGTTCGTGGCACTCAGTATCTGGCCTTTGGTTAGCTGGGAATGAAGGAATGGAAAAGAACATGGAAACTACTATCATGGGTTGTACGTTGACTACTGGAAGGATCCATTCCTTTATTCCCAGCTAACCACCAGCCAGGTATTAAGAAAGAGCATTGCATTTGGCCTGACTTGTGCTTCTATCGGGGTTGCGCGCCTTCATTCGGATGTGAGACATTCCGGGTAAATGAAAACCGACTGGGAGCCATACAATCTGGTGTGAGCGAGGTTCTGAGAGCATTGAAGAAATCCCATGAGGCAGGTATCGACCGAAATGTCGTGCGTCGGTTCGTGGGTAAGGGAAGAACTGGCAAAGGACGTTGGATCAAAGCTGTCGTCTCTGCATACCATGGAAAACCCCAGGACCCTCCCAAGACTTTGTCCTCGCAAGACTTTTTTTTGGATCCGCAAATTTTAAAGGCCGTCAATCTGAGTTCACGAGGACAGAAGTCTCACATCGAATTGCGCACGGTTTCACTCTACAGAATCCTTAGTACTGCATGCTTCTGAGGTTGTAGTTCCTGAGTTTGTATTCTGTAGGACAAGTTGGTACCAGGGTTTGTGCTGGGAGCATGGACTGTGAGGTTGTATCGCAGATTCGACCCGACCGCCAGACGTTGATGTGGCTTGATCCTTGGACCGAGGGGCTTGCTAGGGTAATAATGGTCATGCAAAATAATATTAGCAATAATAGGAATAATAGTAATAAAGGTTCAAGTAGTGACGCTCGATGTAACAGCAACCTATATTCCCATGTTCCCTACTAATCTCAACATTCCAACTTACTGGTTCTTAGAAGGGAATAAGAGAAGCTAATCCCATATAATGCTTATATACATTATCCCTGTATATACATATATATATATATACACTGTATATTCCTACATTCCCTACTAACCCTCAGTAAGCCAAGGTCAGCAACCTGGCCCAAAGAAATTCAGCGGCTGGCAAGGGACTTCTGCAGAGAGGCGGGTTTGGGGTTTAGGGCCTAGGGGAGAGGGGAAGATACTATGTAGGGATTTTTCAGGGATTATGTAGGAATTCTATTCCCTGGTTCCCTACTACCCCACCCGGGAAGTTTTGAAAGGAAGGCAGATCTTGATCAAGCGGTGCCTTCCCACTTCCGTTGTCCCTAACCCTAAATTCAACCCTAAACCCTAAACCCTCCACCCGGCCTTCCGTGCAGACGGAAAAAGGTGTGGTAAAAAAAACCCCTCCACCCTAAACACTAAAACTTAAGCCCTAGACCCCAAACCAAAAACCCAACCCTAAACCCCCAACTGCCCAGGATCCGGTGAAACTTACTATTGGCACAGAGGAGCTGTGGCTTGCTAATAATAATAGTAGTAATAGTGTAGCAATAGTACTAAGGACTGGAAATAACATTCACAATAATAAGGGCAATAATAGTGAATAATAATAGTAGTAACAATGATGCCTGCGCTCGTCCTGCAGATCAGTCTCGTTTGCGTATCGACTTGGCCCTGCAGGAGCTATCTCTCAATCCCAACATCACGCAGCAAATTGAGGCGAACGCTGTGGCAATCGTGTTGCGAGAATGTCGGCACAGCTTGGGTCTCTGTTGCTGGCAGGTTGTCGGAGAATACGAAAAACGTGACAGATTCATGAGCTGGGTCAAGAGCTTGGGGCTGAGATGGACATCAATGTCTTTGCGCGAAAATGTTCCAGCTTTCGTGAAGAATGAACATCACCTTTGATTGCACGTTTCACTTGGAAATGCGGTGGCTGTAGTCGCTGCTGAACCATCTTCACAGACTGCTTTCTGTCGAGCCGTCAGCAAAGATCAATAGTATTTCTGTTCTTACTATTATTGTTATTATTCTTATTATTACTGTTATTACTGTTTTTATTAGAATTTTTTTTGTTACGACTATTATTATTGCTGTTGGGATGCCCTGGGCATGGTGCGCAATTTCCTGTGTCCGCAGCACCTTGCAAAGCTTTGCCGTCAAAAAGGCCACCAGTCCTTCCGAAGTGCTACTGGCGCTTTTGTGCAATCCAATCTCTGGGCAAGGCTGCACTCAAAGCTACCTACCTTAAGCATAGCGTTTCCTCGAACGCAAAAAGAAGAGATTATTTTGCTTCATTCCTTCCACGAGTACTCAAGAACAGGCCGGAACCGGCGTTCCCACTGTTTAGGTTGCGTTCCTGTACCGAATGCAGCGTTGAATGAGGGAATTCGAGACAAGTAGCAGTAGCCCTGTATTCTTGCTGTAAGCCTGTCCCCCCTATGCTCTTACAGTAGGCTCAGTAGGCAGGCAACCTTTGATGCAGACACTTCCAAACGGACAACTCCTGAATCAAAGTTTTCAAACCAAGGCGTTGCATCAGATGAGACAAAGGTGCTTGTCTTCACCGAGTGGTCCTGGCCTGTTTGTTTGCGAGAGCTTCTGAGCGCCTTCCTTGATGCGACTCGATGGTGCAAGAACCAAGCGTGGTGCTGACTCCCTGTGCCGAGAGCTGCAGTGCGCCAGGAAGATTCCTTTGGGGTAATGTTGGGGATAATGGAAAATAAAATGGAAACTACTATAGTATATTGGGGTTATATAGGGATTGGTTTAGGTCGTGTAGGTGGCTTTGAATGATCGGTTTGCTCAGCAGCCATTGATGAGGTACCAGAATTTGCCGGCCAATGCTATTCATGGTGACAAGGCTTCGAAGCGTGTCCTACGCAGCAAATGCGCAGGTTGACTCTGCTTCACAAAGCTGCAGGAGCAAAGACAGCGCGACAAAACTCTTTTCGATTTCAAGACGGGACGCCCGAAACTGAAGATGTTGTGGAGCTTGGGAGATGCGCGCAAGGAATTCAGAAGTGGAAGCACCCAGGCTGCAACATCCTGATTGCAACGGACGTTGCTCAAAGGGGCCTAGACATCAAGGATGTGGCGTATGTAGTCAACTATGCCGGCCACCCAGACGTGGCTTCTCTTTCCTTTCGCCGAGATCCGTTGCCCTCATGCTATTGCCCTAAACATCCCTTTGAGAATTCTGTTTGTTCATTACCAGCCGTTGAGCAGCCCGCTGAAAACGATCGGTTTCATAGTTCGGGGATGATTCTTATCTCATGTGTCAGCTAGAAGATGATTGGCAAGTGGCTTGGGGGCTTCACTAAAGGATGAGCCGGGATGAGAGTGAGGTATAGTTATGGCATGTTATGGTGAAACTACTTCTTTTGGGAGAAGCTTGTGAAAAGTCTTGCAAACCGTAGATTTGCGATCTTGTGCGAATCTTGCATGTGAGAATCTTTGCGACACGGCGCCAGCATGTACTCAAAACATATCAATACAAATGCTTTTCGCATTTTCGGACAGGTTCAGTCAAGACTTGGTTTCTCGCACGTTTCCCGCAGCTCCCAGAATTTCAGGGTCTCCTTCCGGGCTTCTTTTGAGAAACCTGTGAGAAGCCCTGGCTTGCTGGGCAGTTCCCAGGTGTCCTACAGAGATCTCATAGTCTACTTTCTCAAAGCACTAAGCTCTCAACCCCAAAACCTATCTAGTGAACAATAGGTTTTCCTTATCATAGCAACTCTACTTTCTCAAAGGTCTGTTACAGTAGAGTACATCCAGAAGCTGATGAGATCATTTGAGGCTATGGGTCGCAGAGACGTCAGGTTAGTTCGGATTTGCCAGCTCTCCGTGAGAGAATTCAGTTTGAAGGTCTAAAGCGCTCCGGACATGACACGTCAGTGCAACTTACAGTCCTTCCTCTCCCGATTCTCCTGAAAACAATTTCTGCTTGTTGCGACTACATACTGGTTCTTAGTAATATGGGAGTATAATCATAATCCCTACATAGTATAGTCCCATATTTCCCACTAAGAGCCAGTAAGACTACTTACCAGGCTGACGAGGCATGCTTTCATGGAAGTTGGTGCATGAGCCCAAGGATGTTCCGAAGACCCTCGAGGATTACATCCATCGCATCGGCCGAACAGCTCGTCCTGAACTTACCCATAGACTTACTGGCGCTTAGTAGGGAATATGGGAATATATCACATAGGGACCATATAAGGATAATGTCGCGGGTTTAGGGTTTCCCTATACATACTACGTAGGGACAATGGAAAAGACAATTCCAACTACCACATTATGATAGGGTATAGTTTAGTAGGGCAGAAGGGAATGCATTAGATAGGGACTACATAGGGATAGTGGAAAAGAACATGGAAGCTACTACATTATAGTAGGGTATATCTTGGGGTTTTAGTAGGTGTAGGGAATTAGAAAATCATTAATTATGTTCCCTTATTCCTACTAAGAACCAGTAATTAGAGTCATCACAAAAAGTGTATGGACACTAGCGTTAGACAAAACACCCTTCTGGGGCAAGTTGTCATGCTCAGTGACCCAGCTTCTCGCTCAGGTAAGCTAAAGTCTACATTCCTTAAAGGGCGTTTTTCAAGGGAGTATTTCGGAGACGATTCTAGCAGTTATTAAGGGGGATTCCGGGAGTGTGGAGCCTAAATCCTACATTAAACCCAAAACCCTAACCACCAAGCCCTAAACCCTAAACCCCAAACCCTAAACCCTAAACTTCCTCGCTCAGGTGGCGGTGCAAAGGGTACCGCGGTAACTTTCTTCCCTGCGGATGCCTACACGCCTGACATGATCAGGATGGCCAGGGCCATCTCGAAGGCGCAAGATTAAGGGTTTATATATAGGGCTATATTGGGTTATATAGGGTTATATAGGGTTATATAGGGTTATATAGGGTTATATGGGGTTATGTAGGGTTATATTTGGGTTTAGGAAACTACTACAGTATATTGGTGTTATATTGGGAATAATGGAAAACTATAGTAGCATATTGGGATTATACGGGGATAGTGGAAAAGAAAATGGAGATTAAGGGTTTTAGGGTTTAGGGTTCTATAGGGGTTATATAAGGGTCATATTGGGATAGTGGAAAA